ATATTATTTTCGTTGTAATGCCCTACAATTTCAATACATTCATTTATCAGAATAGAGACTTTCGACGCTGCAGAGAATATGGCAAAGATGCAAAGTTTAGAAATCCTTTGCTGGCTCTTTGTGAATGAATAACCTCAAAAGCATCTTGGTTACTCCAAACCAATCACTGGTTGATTGATTGATCGATTGATTGATCGGTTGATTGATTGATTGATTGATTGATTGATTGATTGCAACAATAGACTAAATGCAGAATACCGAGAATAGTCTAGAGCCCAGCCTTGTTTGATTTAGTCCGCTCCCCAAAATCCGCAATAGTTATACGTTCACTGTCCTTGGTGCTGAACGCCTTCCATCCAAAAAAATTTCCTTACCCACGGGGTAGCTGATTTTGGGGAGCGGAATAAAGCTAAGAAGGCAGCAGCCAAGGGAGTAACGATAGCACAAAAGGTAGCACAGCCTTGTTTGAATTTGGCAACGCGTATAACAATATTCTATTTCAGTCTCTCCACCGTGCAGTGCTCGTCGCCGCCCTCCTCTACCATCTTGAGTAAGGCGGGGTTCTTCCTCACGCCTTCCACAAACTCCCGCAGCTCCAGCCGCCCGTCCCCGTCCCGGTCCAGCTCTCTGAACACACGGTCCCGCACCTATTAGAGGAAAAAAGAAGCACGGAAGGGCTTGGGAAATGAACGTGTGACGGAATATGTGAACGAATGTCAAGAATTGTGCATATGCATGTATGTCTTTGTGTGTGTGTGTTAGGGTTACATAACCCTAAATTAGGGTTAGCGTAACCCTAAATTAGGGTTAGCGTAACCCTAAATTAGGGTTAGTGTAACCCTTAATTGCTTAGACTAATTTAAAACCGCATTTTGTCGCATAATCTGTTGACTCATAATTCTTTTCCTTAAAGTGAAGTGATCTAGGAACTCATGTTCAAAGTCACATACAGGTGGAATTAGCAATAAGTCATTAGACATGTTTGACAAGCTCGTAAACGGCACCACGATCTTTCTCTTGGCAATATACGTTGGAAACTTACATCTTATCCGCCGGTTGGCCATGGGCACTAGTATAGCCTGTCGAAGTATACCATTATTCATAACCATATTCATATATTCTATGTATATATATATTCCCGACATGAGCTATTAGTTATAAGTCTAAACCCTAAGAAATGCCATTCGGGCTGTCCAATATAGGCTTAACAGCTGACGAGACACAAAAAATCTTTCACACACAAAACATGATAAATCGATGGCTGAATATGATATTCTGTTACGAATAGCCTACAGCAAAAAGAGGTATACCCATTACGTACATACAGTGTGTCAGTGTGTTATATACATGTCCTTTGAAGTGAATGAAATTACACTGTAGAGGGCAGACCTTTTCCAATGGGACCTGCGCCTTTTCCAGCTCTTCCTCTGTAGCACTCGGGTAATGTAGCTCGTGCATCAGCTGCAGAGGAAGTATTACCAACAAGATTACCTCCACGATCCGAAAACATGCCATTGTGTCTAACATCAGTCTGCGCAGCAGCATGTGAAATAAATGTATAGCTCTAGACCTTTTTTGGGGAACGTTATGTCATGGAACTCATGTATGCTGGTGAAATCCTTATGAAAACCGCTTATAGAAACCGCTTATATAATACATGTACTTTGCAGCTAGCCGAGGTTGATACATATCAAAGCCGAACCAGCCCGACATGTCTTCATATTTCAAACCTCCATGAAATATGGATTTTTCGTGAATTTCTCATGTTTGACTCATTATCATGAATATCTCTCTGGTTCTGTCTACGCGCTTTAACACTGACTCCCATAAGGCATGCAACAGACATGCATAGCAGGAAACTGAAGTCTGGAAATGAGATAACCTTTCGTAGGACCATTGAGCTAACTTCGGTGTCCCCGTCGTGCCTACCATGTGAACATAGTACAGAAACCCAAGCAAACACGTAGACATCCAGACAAAAACAAACCCCTCCGTAGAAGTTGGTAATAAATGGTTCGCTACCGGAGCAAGCGAGGGCACGTCACACTGAACAAGATGCAATTAGTTGATAACGAACTCTAACGACGGCTGGGAACGCACACGCACAACGCTATCTTCTCCGTATCACAGCCGGGCTGCTGTGGGACTGCAGTTTTGGGGGATTAAATGAAAATAGTCACAAATAGCTAAACAGAAGATTGGTTGTAGTGGCTATGAAGTTGTCAGGTAAAACGTTACGGTTTCTTCACACAGTCTACTGGCGATGCTATCTGAACTCCTGAGCTGACATTTTGATGAATGGTTGTTTTGAAGTGCGTGTTCGTTGAAAGTTCGCAATGTAACACGATTTAATTTAGAGAGGGGGACACTGGGCGAGGCCATCTAGAGTGATAGCTTTCGTAATCGATTTCTCGAAATTTCTCGGAGCGACATCGAAACGACGAGCGTCTCCAAAGGGTGAATTATGTGTGGCCACCCGATTTGTAACCATATCTATCATCACTGTCATCATTTGGCATCCATCATATTCAAGAATCGCCTTTTCATACACAGTATCTCTTCTCAATGTATGAATGATGCCATTGAGGAATTCAAAATGTTGACTCTGGAACGCATTAGACATGTTGCACGGGGACAGCTTTCTATAAGATCGCTGTTGAAACGATTTTTTTAAATTTCCCTCTGAATATATATGCCCTTTGGGGGTTTATATTGTATGTACCCGTCTGGTTTTACTTTCTTGTCTCTTAACATTCCGGAGAAAGTCGATGTTACTGTCAGCCTGATCACCATTCCCTAAGACGCAGAAATATGTGTGGGATGGAGCTGTGGTCGAGTAGATGAAGCAGAGGATTTCGGTAAGGTGAAGGTTGGTTTCACTTATTCTCCATCATCCGTGGGACTTAGCCTGTGAAAGCAAGCCGTTTGGATTTTCAAAATAGATGCATTCTTGTGTGTAGGGCGCGGGATACTTCGTGTAAATCTCCAAAAAGTCTGACTATTCGACAATTCGTGCTTTCATTTTTATGGAGGTATTGTTTTGGATCGGTTGATTCTTTGGGTTTGTGTGTACGTTTGCAGGGAGAGTTGGTGGGTTGCAGGGAGAGTGGGTGGGTATTTGGTTACTTGATTGACAGGGAGGTCAAGCCTGGAGGTGACTCATCAGCACGCACCGTGTTGGAGTAACTGGGCAGTACATGGAGGAATTCAGTACGTGGTTGACTGTGTGGTAACACCTGTGTAAACTTTACAGCCGGAAAGCCACGTACTGAATCGAACGCTTTTCGAACGAGTTTTCTTTGCAGAGCGTATCACTCCGCCGTCCATAGCAACGCCGTTGCTAAGGACAACATTTTCGCGGGCGGCGGGCTGAAATTTCATCCGAGTTGTTGACAGCCGATTACATCACCAGTTTCGGCCTCTGCGTCAAGATGGCGGTACGTATCAGACGTGTATATCGTGGGCTCTCCGTAGTATTCATATTTGAGGGGTATTCTATCAGTTTTAGTGTAGTTTTGTGGCCAAACACGGTACACAGTGAAATGAACAAAATGGCCGCCCTGGACTGATCTGAATTTTCGTCTTATTTGAATTTGGGGGGAAACCCGTTTCGCACTCGATTTTGCATATGGCGATATGTGGATAAAATGTGTTGAACCTTTGGCTTTCTCCCATTATGAATATCCTGTTGGTGCGAAATCTGGATAGGTTTGCAATTTAATGCCAACTAGGGTCCCTTTTTTGGCCAATTTTATGGCTAAAACTCATAGTTTGTCGTTTGATTTCATTTCGGACATTGTTGAATAATTTGCGTATATGTGCTTCATTTCTTGTAAACATCATGTTCGTGGTAAAATCATTTTCGATTAACTAATCTAGTCTAAGTTTAGACCCAGACTCTTAGTCGTTAGATCTTTACAAGGGCAGATTCAATTGTAAATTTTGAAGTTAACGTTGTAGTTGAGTCTGATGGATCACGAAATTCGTAAAAAAATTAATCCCTTCTGTGAGTGTTAGTGCAAAAAATTCCCGCCAACTTTATCACGTGATGTCTGGTTGTCATACAAGAACAACAAAGCTGCATGACTGCTGCAAATTGTTACAATGTCTTGTCATGGTGTCTAAAGTTACAGCAAGACAAGCATGCCTGTACTACCATATCTAGTGATTGATGATAAAAACAGTGCACAATATACATGTTTAGGCAGCTTGTGACATTTGTAGAAATTATAATAAATGGTTGAGCATGTATATCATTGATTATTGAAATAAAGCTAACGTTCATTTTAGTATTGGATTGAGAAAAATGTGTGAAGGGGATTCTTTTATTTCTGTTTCAGATTATCATAGGCTTCACAGACTAGATTGGTAAGTATCTGGCAAACCAAGGAGGTTTAAAATGTTTAAACCACCTTTGGCAAACCATGTCACCCTCTCTCCTGGCATTTTTAGAAAATTATTACTAAAATTTAAAGAAGGACAAGGACAAAGTGGGACTGTGCTCAAGTTACAGTCACATTAACAGCCCCACTTGACACTTAACACTGAACAAGTACAACCAATACAAATATATAACTAAGAATAAAAGTGAAAACAAAAGTGTGCACTAACGTTATATGTTAAGAAAATTTCAGGAAGACCCTAGCCCCCAAAATTTACCTCAAGTAGCATTGCACCAGGTTTCTTGTAAGGTTGGAGAACTGTTTTTTGAAAGTAAACCAACCAATACTTCTTGTGGATGATCTTTATGTAGAAATGTTAAGTTCAAGAAAGGATTTGAATGTAAAAGTCAAAGTGATGTACTGATTATGACACATTCTACTGTGGTTGGAGTCACCGTTGGATTTAGTAAACTTTAGTTTGGTTCACAAAAGTTCTAACACCAAACATAGTTTAATGTTATACTATAGATATTGTGATATTATAGAATCACTTCATTGGCAAGAGGTAACTCTAAAAAATATGATCAAGAGAATGAAGAGATCAAGTCTATTCAGTCTCGTTTTGCTTCTATGCTAAAAGATTTAAAGGATAGTATTAATTCTGGCCCCTGGTCTTTCTTTTTTATATATGAATACTGTGATTCATTAAGAATCCTCCAAATTTATTGATAAATTCCAACCTTCTTGCATGAAATTGTTAACCTGCATAAAACTTCAACCTCCCTGCATAAACCTGTTCCACATTTCTAAAGAAACAAATCCTGTTTGGAATTTTATTGTTGTGTTAACTATGCAAAAGTCTGAAATTTCTTTTTCTGATTTTGAATCTTTGGATATTAATTTGCCTTTCTAAAGGACGAGACAATCCATAATAGCTCTATGTTTTTGAGGCGTCTTTTCACTACTTTCCTTATTTTCTTTATTGTCTCTGAACTCCACTGTAGTTATCCTTTTCATATGACAAAATCTGAGTTGATTTATTCCTATAGCCAATGTACTGATTTAATGTTACTTGAAGTCCCCGTGGGTGGAATGGGGACTTCTATACAAGCTGTACAGTCCAAATCTAAATTACTTATTTCTTCTATGCCAACTTCAACATTTGATTCTGAATGTTCTAATTTACTCCATATTGATCAAAATCAGGAAATTCATGATGATTCTGATTCAGAAAAGACTTTTTTGATAGTGAGGATCAGGATGTTAATTTCATACTAGTAGATGACATTTACATAGGCAGCTTGTCTGCATTGGATAACATTTCAGATTCAGAATTCTCTGATGTTGATTTACGAGTGAATTGGGTTTGGTGTCGTATCTTACTTACATTTTTTTAATACTTCCACCTTGCAGGTAAAAGCCACACCCAGCAGGACACCAGGATGTTATATTGTATATTTAGCTTGAGATTATGGATATATATATAAGATGTATTATGTATTGAGATCTTAATTTCCATCTATTCTGTTTATTGTAATCTTAATACAATTTGGATCATATTCAATTAGT